ACTGAGCCGGTCACCAGAGGAGCTTACACTCTAATGTCCCCTCCCCCACTGTCCCATCAGTCTCTGTACCAGAGGAGCTTACACTCTAATGTCCCCTCCCCCACTGTCACATCAGTCTCTGTACCAGAGGAGCTTACACTCTAATGTCCCCTCCCCCGCAGTCCCATCAGTCCCTGTACCAGAGGAGCTTACACTCTAATGTCCCCTCCCCCACAGTCCCATCAGTCTCTGTACCAGAGGAGCTTACACTCTAATGTCCCCTCCCCCGCAGTCCCATCAGTCTCTGTACAGAGGAGCTTACGCTCTAATGTCCCCTCCCCCACAGTCACATCAGTCTCTGTACCAGAGGAACTTGCGCTCTAATGTCCCCTCCCCCACAGTCCCACATCAGTCTCTGTACAGAGGAGCTTACGCTCTAATGTCCCCTCCCCCGCAGTCCCATCAGTCTCTGTACAGAGGAGCTTACGCTCTAATGTCCCCTCCCCCGCAGTCCCATCAGTCTCTGTACAGAGGAGCTTACGCTCTAATGTCCCCTCCCCCGCAGTCCCATCAGTCTCCATACAGAGGAGCTTACGCTCTAATGTCCCCTCCCCCGCACACACGCTATTATTATACATAGGAGCTTCTAGCTCTGCCATATACTGTAGCGTTGTACACTGATCTCTCTCTCTCTCAGGTCATGTCTGATCTCCCCGGATCATCACACAGGAATTTTCTGGCCGGCTTATAGATGTCTGTGAGAAGATCCCTTAGGAGGTAATTGCTGGTTGTGTTTGTACTTCTCCCCCGCCATTGTCCAGGACACTAGGGGTCTGAATGGAGCTCATTACCATATCAGAGATATCTAGGTGTGTCCTTGTATCAGAGAGGGCTTTGTTTCTACATTCCATCTATTAATGGTAAGGTAGGCCCTTCGGGGACATCCTTGTTGGCCTTTAATGCATGCCATTGTTGGCTTTTAGAGGATATCATTTTTGGCCTTTCCGGGATGGCCTGGGTTGTCCCTTTGAAGGGTCGGCCTGGGTTGTCCCTTTGAAGGGTCGGCCTGGGTTGTCCCTTTGAAGGGTCGGCCTGGGTTGTCCCTTTGAAGGGTCGGCCTGGGTTGTCCGTTTGAAGGGTCGGCCTGGGTTGTCCGTTTGAAGGGTCGGCCTGGGTTGTCCGTTTGAAGGGTCGGCCTGGGTTGTCCGTTTGAAGGGTCGGCCTGGGTTGCCGTTTGAAGGGTCGGCCTGGGTTGTCCGTTTGAAGGGTCGGCCTGGGTTGTCCGTTTGAAGGGTCGGCCTGGGTTGTCCGTTTGAAGGGTCGGCCTGGGTTGTCCGTTTGAAGGGTCGGCCTGGGTTGTCCGTTTGAAGGGTCGGCCTGGGTTGTCCGTTTGAAGGGTCGGCCTGGGTTGTCCGTTTGAAGGGTCGGCCTGGGTTGTCCGTTTGAAGGGTCGGCCTGGGTTGTCCGTTTGAAGGGTCGGCCTGGGTTGTCCGTTTGAAGGGTCGGCCTGGGTTGTCCGTTTGAAGGGTCGGCCTGGGTTGTCCGTTTGAAGGGTCGGCCTGGGTTGTCCGTTGAAGAAACATCAGTGTTGACCATTGAGGGAACGCTGTCGCCAGCCCTTTATAATCTTTCTACCACCGCCATTTTTTAGTTTTTCACACACATGATAAAGTTTGCATTTTTTTTCTGCTAAAAAAAAATGACTGACTACCCCCAACCGTTATATACAGAGGCACCTGCAGAGCTTTATAAAAGCCATCAAAGAACCGCTTTTATCTGAAACCCCTTCACCTGTTTAAAAAACCAATACCAAGCTCATGGTTGTAACCCCTTAAATACCAGGATGTTTATAAAGGTACCTTGACAAGCAAGGGGTTGAGGGACACGTTGGTTGGCTTTTAAGTGACATCATTGTTGGCCTTTGAGGGGACGGCCTGGGTTGGCCTTTGAGGGGACGGCCTGGGTTGGCCTTTGAGGGGACGGCCTGGGTTGGCCTTTGAGGGGACGGCCTGGGTTGGCCTTTGAGGGGACGGCCTGGGTTGGCCTTTGAGGGGACGGCCTGGGTTGGTTTGAGGGGACGGCCTGGGTTTTGAGGGGACCAAGCTCATGGTTGTAACCCCTTAAATTCCAGGATGTGTTATAAAGGTACCTTGGCAGGCAAGGGTTGAGGGACACCTTGGTTGGCCTTTTAAGGATGCTATCTCTGGCCTTTAAGGGTGCTTTTTAGGTTGCAGCAGTGTGTCTTAACTCCCTCATCTACCAAGGTACATATATACACATCCTGGTACTAAGGGGTTAAGGAACACTATTCCTTTTTCTTTCACCGCCATTATTTCCGGGATACACCGTTAGTCATTTTTTTATGAATGAGGCCTTGCCCTCTCTTGCACTGGGTTAAAGTTTGCAGTTGTGCTGGGGTCAGCGGACTCTCGGAAAGGTTTCTGTTTTATATTTTTATGGCTTTTCCCTTCTTACAAAGTGTGAGATTCTGTCCTGTATGACATAGTCACCTGCGGTGTCACCGCACTCCCTGACTTGCTGCTGCCTTCATTAGACTGGTTACCCATCCAGGAAATTCAGCAGAACTGGTCCCAGCCGGTGTCGAGGAATTAATTGGTTTTGCAATGTGACTAATGAGTTACAGCTGAGTCCTATAAAGAGGACCTGTGTAGTGTTCATTCAGGGATGATGGGAAGTAGTGCTGGGTCCCAGATGAGGGACATCACGGTGCTCTGCTTCACAACCGCTTCCAGGAGGTAGACAGTGTGTGCTATGGAGGTGACAGGTCCCCTTTAAAGTGGCAACACAGCTGAAACAATTTGCTTTTTTTGCGGGGAAGGAGTTTAAACTCAGTTGTTTTCTGGGGCACCCAAAGAAAGATTTGAAAGAAAGATGACAAACGTAGGAATTAATCTATTACAGAAAATACGGGACAAATGTGTCCAGCCTGCACTAGTGTGTGTGACACTCAGCCAATGAATGTTTATTATATATAGACCTCTTGGTTTAGGTGTGTGATAGATCGACTTTCCTTTCCTTCTTTCCTTCCTTTCTTTATCTTTCTTTATCCTTTCTTTTCCTTTTTTCCCTTTCCTTTCCCTTTCCTTTCCTTTCCGTTTCCCTTCCCTTTCCGTTTCCCTTTCCTTTCCGTTTCCCTTCCCTTTCCGTTTCCCTTTCTTTTCCGTTTCCCTTTCCCTTTCCGTTTCCCTTCCTTTCCGTTTCCCTTTCCTTTCCGTTTCCCTTTCCCTTTCCGTTTCCCTTTCCTTTCCGTTTCCCTTTCCCTTTCCGTTTCCCTTCCCTTTCCGTTTCCCTTTCCTTTCCGTTTCCCTTTCCTTTCGTTTCCCTTTCCCTTTCCGTTTCCCTTTCCTTTTCCTTTCCCTTTCCGTTTCCCTTTCCCTTTTCCTTTCCTTTCCCTTTCCTTTCCCTTTCCCTTTTTCCTTTCCCTTTCCCTTTCCCTTTCCGTTTCCCTTTCCCCTTCCCTTCCCTTTCCGTTTCCCTCCCTTTCCGTTTCCCCTCCCTTTCCGCTTTCCCTTCCCTTTCCCTTTCCCTCTCCCTTTCCCCTCCCGCTTTCCCCCTTCCCTTTTCCCTTTTTCCCTTTTTCCCCTCTCCCCTCCCTCTCTCCCTCCTCCCCTCCCTCTCCCCCCTCCTCCCTTCCCCTCTCCCCTCTCCCTCTCCCTGTCCCCTCTCCCTGTCCCCTCTCCCTCTCCCCTCTCCCCCCCTCCCTCTCTCCCTTTCCCCCTCCCTCTCCCTTCCCCCCTCCCTCTCCCTTTCCCCCTCTCCCTCTCCCCTCTCCCCCCTCCCTCTCCCCCTCCCCCTCCCCCTCCCTCTCCCCCTCCCCCTCCCTCTCCCTGTCTATAATGTCATAGGAAACAAGGCCTTGTCTTTATTTTGGGATTGCCTAGCACAGCCCTGCTCAATGTAAATGGGCCCTCAGAAAAATGAGAATTTGTCCATATAAAAAGGAAAACAAAATAGTAAACAAGATAAAAAAAATAAGGAAAAAACTAACCTTGAAGAATGATTTGTGATATTTTCTCATCCTGATTGTACAGGGAGCCTGAAATTGAGGCTGGATTTAAGCTGTGCAAAAATTGATGCATTAAAACTTAAGAACGGTAGGGTTACATAGGATAGGAGTCCGCGTTGGCGTAGGGGTTGTCGGCGTGGGCGCGTGTAGGGGTTGTCGGCGTGGGCCGCGTGTAGGGGTTGTCGGCGTGGGCCGCGTGTAGGGGTTGTCGTGTAGTGGTTGTCGGCGTGGGCCGCGTGTAGGGGTTGTCGGCGTGGGCCGCGTGTAGGGGTTGTCGGCGTGGGCCGCGGCGTGGGTAGGGGTTGTCGGCGTGGGCCGCGTGTAGGGGTTGTCGGCGTGGGCGCGTGTAGGGGTTGTCGGCGTGGGCCGCGTGTAGGGGTTGTCGGCGTGGGCCGCGTGTAGGGGTTGTCGGCGTTGTCGGCGTGGGCCGCGTGTAGGGGTTGTCGGCGTGGGCCGCGTGGGTTGTCGGCGTGGGCGCGTAGGGTTGTCGGCGTAGCGGTCGGCGTGGGCCGCGTAGGGTTGTCGGCGTGGGCCGCGTAGGGGTTGTCGGCCGCGTGTAGGGGTTGTCGGCCGCGTGTAGGGGTTGTCGGCGTGGGCGCGTGTAGGGGTTGTCGGCCGCGTGTAGGTGTTGTCGGCGTGGGCCGGTGTAGGGGTTGTCGGCGTGGGCCACTTGTAGGGGGTGTCGGCGTGGGCTACGTAGGGGTGTTCCATAGTCTCTGACATGAATTGGTGGACAGGGCTGGATTGGAGTATTGTGGTGGTGGGGCCGATACGGGGTGAACTAGTGACAAAGTTGGGAGATAGGAGGGACTGCAGAAATGAGACATTGGGGGGGGGGGAAAACATGGAACCAGTTACAAGCAATAGAAGGATACAATGTAACAAAAAGTATCAAGTCTGTACCAAGTAGCTTCTAGCAGAATAGATCTGGCAGATCAGGTTTCCATCGACATTAAAAGGGGTCTCCCTGTAGGTGTGACGCCAATCCGTCATCATGGAGGACAAACGAAACATCCAGATCATCGAGTGGGAGCACCTGGACAAGAAGAAGTTCTACGTCTTCGGGGTCTGCATGACGATGATGATCCGGGTCAGCGTCTACCCGTTCACTCTCATCATCGGACGCGGCTCCAGGTGCAGAAGGGGAAGAGCCTCTACAACGGGACGTTTGACGCCTTTGTGAAGATCTTGAGGTCGGAGGGGGCCTCCGGTCTGTACCGGGGCTTCCTGGTGAACACCTTCACCCTGATCTCTGGCCAGTGTTACGTCACCACGTACGAACTGACGCGCAAGTATTTGTCGGGCTACAGCAGTAGTAACACCGTCAAGTCTCTGGTGGCGGGAGGATCAGCGTCTCTGGTGGCGCAAAGCATCACCGTGCCCATCGACGTGATTTCTCAGCACCTTATGATGCAGCGGACGGGCGAGAGCATGGGCCGATTCCGCGTGAGCTGCGCGGGGGGAAACAGACGGTCGTGTTTGGCCAGACCAAGGACATCATCGTGCAGATCTTCAAAGCGGATGGAATGAAGGGGTTTTATCGGGGTTACGTGGCTTCGCTGATGACCTACATCCCCAACAGCGCCGTATGGTGGCCTTTCTACCACTTCTATGCAGGTGGGTTGCAGGGCATGCTGGGAGTTGTATAAAATGTATGACTATCCCAACTATTTTTTTAATGAAGTAGGGAGGGGTTAAAACCTCTATTGGGATGTTTATTTGCTTCTACATTCTGTCTTGAAATTGGAGCTTACACTGGGCCGGGATTTGCCCCGCCCCCAGGGGATGGGAATGAGGTCACATGCTCCATATTTGGAAGTGGCACACCTCTCACTAAAGGGATCAGGGAAGGTGAGGAGCATGTACTATGGAGATGGACATTAAAGGAGAGCTTACACTGGGCCGAGGATTTGCCCCGCCCCCAGGGGATGGGAATGAGGTCACATGTTCCATATTTGGAAGTAGCACACCTTTCACTAAAGGGATCTGTGAAGGGAAGGTGAGGAGCATGTACTGTGGAGATGGATATTAAAGGGTCCCTGTAGCTTGAGGGCAGGCTTGCTTCAAAGGGCCAGCCTAACCCAATGGTGACCTTTGTCCTAGGTGGAGTCTAGTGGTCCGAGTCGCTTACAGGACTTCTTATTGAAAGATTGGTTCCTATTGTTTCTACATTTTTGGGTTTTTTTGGGTTTTTTTTGGACCCTGATCCAAGTAATGTGATTTTTTTTTTTTTTTTTTTTTTTTCCCCGTATGGTCATCATTTTTTGCTTTGTTCCAGAACAATTATCACGCCTGTCACCTAAAGACTGTCCTCACCTACTGCTTCAAGCCATCTCGGGGCCCCTGGCAGCAGCGACAGCGTCCACCATCACCAATCCCATGGATGTCATAAGGGCCCGAGTGCAGGTAACAAAGCAAGGGTGGTTCTGCTCCACCAGAAATTGAGTGTTCTCGGGTTGGATGGATATAACGAGGACTGTGTGTTCCATTGACATTACAAATGGGTGGAGATGGGGGGGTTATGTATTCAACCTAGAGAATGTAAAATCGGGTGTATCTCTGCATAGCAACCAATCGGCTTCCAGATTTTATTGTCAAAGCTTAATGGAACAAGCTGAAGCTAGAAGCTGATTGGCTCCCACTGCACCAGATTCTGAGTGCCCCAGTTTTAGTAAATCTCCCCTCTGTGTTCAGTACTGGATGTTGGCATAAAAAAAAATGCCATAATAAAAAAAGTAATATTAATATCTCCTAAACGTGCAACTTTTAGGAGATATTAGCCCATCTTTGATAGCTGAATGAATGGCATACCCGTGGCGTTCCTTCAGAGCGCTGTGCCGTGACGCGGGAGTGACGTCTTCGCAGCTCGGCAAGTCAGGCGGCCAGAGCGCGCAAACCCGGAAGGAAGATGGAAGTCCCAGGGAGCCAGCGTGCCGCAGGAGGGCTTAGTTTTAAGGTAAGTCCGTCATAATTATTATTATACAGGATTTATGGCGCCAACAGTTTGCGTGGCGCTGTACAATATAAAGGGAGACCGTACTATTACAATACATTTCAGTACAGAAGGAACAGGAGGGCCCGGCTCGTGGAGCTCACAATCTAAAGGAAGGGGGAGATGGTACAAAAGGTGATAGCTAGGGATGCACCGAAAACACCCCCATCGGCCGAAAAGGGGAAAAAAAAGCACCGATACAGGTGCCAAAAAACCCCGCCCCTCGCCGCTGTCACAGCCGCCCGCCTGCCGCTGCCTCCACCGGCCGCTGCTCGGTAGTTCTCAGCCTTACCTGAAAGACCAATTAAAAGTAAATAGAAGTGAGCGCTCCTAAAAGTAGCTGCTAAAACACCAAGAGGTACCAATAAAAACTCTGTAAAAGTATAGATAAATAAGTGGGTGTAGCGCTCAAAACAAATAAAAACAATAAGTCCACATATAAACGCATGTGAATGTGTAAACGGATATAGAGTCTGTATCAAGAAGAAATATAGCAGATGAACTTGTGACTCCAACCAAAAGTGAAAAATGCGCACTCACCGGAAGCGCATAGATAATGAGCATACATATATCTATGCGCTTCCGGTGAGTGCGCATTTTTCACTTTTGGTTGGAGTCACAAGTTCATCTGCTATATTTCTTCTTGATACAGACTCTATATCTGTTTACGCATTCACATGCGTTTATATATGTGGACATATTGTTTTTATTTGTTTTGAGCGCTACACCCCACTTATTTATCTTTACCTTAAAGACCATTGAACGATCCCGGCGCTGGGCATAGAGATAAGTGAAGGAAAGATGGCCTCCACTCCTCTCTATGCCCTTGGAGGACCGGAGCGATGTCACTTCCAGTTCCGGGCTTTTTACTTTTTAACTAGTTGCCGATCGCAGATAGGCGAATGACGGCTGCACTGCGGCCGGCCAGTTCTGGGAGGGCGTCACATGACGTCCTCCCAGAACGCGCTCTCCTCGCGCGCCCCCCCCGGCGATCTCCGTGATCGTTGTGGCCTACGGACACGGCTGTTCATGTGATGTGGTAAAAGGCCAATCACAGCGGCCTTTTACCACGTGATCAGCGGTGTCCAATGACACGCTGATCACCGGGAAATGCAATTGCCGGTTCTCGGCTGCACTTTCCTCACGCTGTCAGATCGTGAGGAAAGTACTGCCGAGAACCGGCAGTTGTCAGAGCGGGGATCGGCACCGATCATCAGGACACTGATGATCGATGCCCACCTGTGCCAAGCAGTGCCACCCACCTGTGCCCATTTTTTTTTTTTTTTTTTTTTTTTTTGATCCAATGCTTTACATTGGAGAGGAGAGATGTGGGATCTTATTAACCCCATATCTCTCCATAAAGAGGACCTGTCACTAATTATTTCTATCACAAGGGATGCATGCATTTCTTGTGATAAGAATAAAAGTGATTAAAAAAATTTTTTTTTAAAGGGACAGTGCAAAAAAAACCCCCCCAAAAACATTAAATAAATTAAAAAAACAAAAAATGAAAGTGCCCCCGTCCCCCCGTACTCACACGTAGTGGCGAACGCATACATAGGCCATGCCCACATATGTAAATTCTGTTCAAACCACACACACGTAGGGTATCGCCACGAACGTCGTAGCAAGAGCAATAATTCTCGCACTAGACTGGGATCCAACCAGGTGTGCCGGATTGCACGTGTAATTGTGCAGTGAGATGCTGTATTCTAACAATGCAGATTGGTTTCTCTGAATCTGCTCTCCACAAGTCGGGAAACTCTGTGTTGTATGGGCTTCCAGCTTCCTATATTTCCTGAGGGCTCGAACCTGCTACAATCAGGGGTCAGGCTCAAAGACCAGTTGCTATAGCAGTAGCGGGAGTTCCACCAACGAGCAGGATAGGTAAGCAAGCAGGTCAACCTGGCAGGTGACATGGGCTCACCTGAGGTGCGGAGTCTAAGTACTAACCAGTATTCACCAGAACTCCTAATGGTGGAAATGGGTTTTGCTGCATGTGGGTACCAGGTCAAGGTCCTCTGGATCGCCCCACCAGGAGGTGAGCAAGCCAGGGTCCAGTAGCAGATATAGCAGGTAAGAATCAAACAGAAGCATAGTCAGTAAACACGCCAAAGGTTTGGTAACAAGTGGTTGTAGGTAGGAAGCCTAGTTGACGAACAAGCCTAAGGTCGGTAACAAGTGGTAGTAAAAATATGTATGGTAGAGAGCACAATAATCTGGCAAACAGAAGTGCATAGTCATGGCTTAAATCAGGGAGGAGCAAAGGGTAAAAGGTTCACAACAAACCAGGTTCAAGACAGGATCATTGAAGGAATTGTCCAGAGGGCTGTCCAGCATTCCAGGTGGCTCAGCAAGAAGAGACCTCACCAGACACAACAGAGTTCTCAGGTTCACATCTGGTCCCTGACATAGCTTTTTATATTTCTTGAAGACTCCAACGTGGAGGTCTTCCTCCTAAGGTACCTTGCTCTATTCTGACCCACCTTAGAGCGTTTCCAGTCCTGGTGAGAGGGTGTGTAGAGTTGCAAGGTTTAACTTGAAGATCTCACCATTGGAGTCCAAACATTGGTGATTATAACTCTTCAGCTTCTGCAAAAACTATATGGCCAACATTTTGTGGGCGTTTTGACCGTTGCACCTACCAGAGGGCCAAAAGCATACGGGCCCTTATCCAAATGATGGTGTTCTCAGTGAAGGGTACTTCTAATACTACAGCATGCAATTAGATTTGAGACATTCTCATTCTTGTGGTAACAGTTTGGAGAACACTTACTGTTGACCACCATGACGATGCCACTGTGTACATATAGGTAAAATATGTGTGGTGCTGCATTTACACCACAAAAACAAAACAAAAATACCAGTAAAGTGTCCACAATAAAGTCCCAATAAAAGTGGGCCGAAAGAAGAATTCATTCTTCAATATGACCACCACTCCGTGTGAACCACCACCGAAAAGAGAAGACTCAAATGTTTGCCAAACAATTCTAACTCTAGGTATGAAGAGTCATAGAACGCTTTAGGACAGCATACAGATCCACATTTCCAGCCTCCAAAGGTTTCCCTCTGTAGAAGTGGTCCTTCTGAAGAGATATCGCCACAGATCTCACCTTCCAGTCGAAGATCCATGCATGCAATTGAGTACCAGTAAAGAGAAGATCACATGCTCCGCATAGTGTGAGAACTCATAGGATTTTATTAAAACCGCTAAAATTGCATCTACGGCAAAGCAAGGTAGACTGTGCTGCATGAAATCACCAATTTCGTACAAACTCTACACTTCCAGTAAAATGTGATGGCGTCGCAACCCTACGTGTTTCATCAGATTGACGTCTTCTGGGGCATGGACCTGTGTATATAGTTGGCACCATAAAGACATGGTTTAACCAGTTTGGTGTGGAGGAACTTGAGGGGCCTTCACAGAGCTCTGCTTAACACATTTGGATCGAACTGGAACACCAATGGTGAGCCAGGTCTTCTCATTCACCTGACAAATTCTTACACACTGCAGAATCTTGTTGAAAACCTTCTCAGAAGAGTGGAAGATTTCATAGCCCATGGTTTTGGGATGGAAAGTCCAACAAAAAGGCTCTACCCTACACGTTTAGTCTCAAGTGATGTCTTCTGGGGCATGGACCTGTGTACAATAGCCAGCTCCATAAAGACATGGTTTAACCAGTTTGGCGGGGAGTAACTTGAGTGTCCTGCACAGAGCCCCGCTGAACACGTTTGGGTTGAACTTAAACGCCAACGTCTTCTCATTCAACATCCGTACCCAACCTCACAAACTTACAGACACCCTCCAAAATCTTGTTGAAAGGCTTCTCCGATGACTGGAAGATGTCATAGCCACAAAGTTGAGGCAAATCCATATTAATGGCCATGGTCTGAGGATGGGAAGTCCACGTAGGGGTGGTGGTCCTGCGTCCACAAAAGTTTAGTCATATATTTGTATATCCGTTGTGAGGGGACTGATGGAGATGAATTCTGATTGACGATGTTATGACCTGGTTCTTGGTTCCTCCTCTTACCCTCATCCTTCTTGTATTTCAGGTGGAGGGAAAAAGCTCAATCATCAACACCTTCAGGCAGCTGATGGCGGAGGAAGGTCCCTGGGGCCTGACCAAAGGTCTTTCCGCCCGGATCATCTCCTCCACCCCCTCTACCATTGTGATAGTGGTGGGCTACGAGACACTGAAGAAACTGAGCCTCAGACCTGAGCTAGTAGATTCAAGACACTGGTGACCGTATGTGGACTGGAGATTTTCTGCAGAGATGGGCAACACACTTGGGCCAACCACGCTGGAAGACGGCCCAAATTCCACTGGATTGTACACAATTGTGTGTGTATATATTTGTGTGTCTGTGCACAAAGAGAAAACAGAGAGAGACTGTATATATCGTACAGTAAGTGCGATGGGAACTTCGGTTTTATCGCAAAAAAAAAAAACAACCCCACTGCTGCTGGGCTAACCCAAGGTGCGTGCATGGTGGGCACACAAGGAATTGGCCACCCTACATTCTTGGCGTCAAACTGGCGCCCCCTGTTGTATATTATTTTTTTAATCTGTGTCTGTGACCGTTCACCCGGTGCCCCCTTCCACCCTTCGTATTCTGGTCAGCTGTGGCACCACCTTGGCCCAATTAATTTTTTTTTTTTTTTTTATTTAACATAAATGGTATTTGTATTTTTAGAATGGACAATTTTCCATTTTTTTTTTTTTTTTTAATATACAGAGTTCTATTGATTTTATTTAATGTGATTGCCAAAGTATGTTGGAATGTAAGTGTGAAAGAAAAGCGTTCCCTTTTAAAGGCTATATCCACTTCTCGGGGATTATATTGTCAGACTAGACCCCTTTAAATCCATACTAGACTCCACCTACGAGGTAACTATAGCTCAGGAATATTAAAAAAAAAAGTTTGAAACCCTCTTTGAGAGAGGGCATATCTAACACAAGGTTCAAAGTGGAATGTCGCACAGTTATTCTTTTCACGGCGCAGAACCATTAGCAAAGATGGTGGCAAGAAGTGAGGGGTAAACTCCTCCATGCGGACACAGAAGGCATAGGAACCCCAACAGGTCCAAAACATTAGAGTTGATGTTTAAGCTGCTGATGTGTTGCCTGCCTGGGTCCTTCTCCCCACCCCACCTCATCAACAATCTAATTAAATTCTTAAATCAAACCTTGGCATTTCCATTACCTTCTATTTAAACCAGTGATGTCAGCTGTAATGGAACCGGACCCTGAATGCACTAGGGTATTTCCGTTAAACTCCCGCTTCCCTGTCCCAACACAGATCCACGGACACCACTCTTGAACGAAACCAGTTAATAGACTCCTTTATTTTAACACAGATACAAGATATATACACACCCAGTAACTAGAAACACATCAGCAGCCAGTCCCATCAGGGAGAAGGGCTGCCGGAAACAGCCCCCCGCCAAGCCAATATACAAACACATACATCCCATAATCGTTTGCTCCCAAGCAAGACACACAATAGAACAGTGGGATACAACCACATGGCATTAAACACTGAACAACCCCCACCTATACATGTCTATACAATATCAGGACATTTCACCCTGCACCCCTAACAGGCACAGGGTGACTTACACATAATAGGGATATGGGGAGCTGAAACCCCTCCAAAGTGAGCTGTGTTCCATAGGCCCCCCACACAAAGTGACTCCCGTCACATCAGCAATGGAGGCAAATCATGGCTGGTGGTAGAGGCCAACCGGGTGCTTCCTCAAGCCATTCCTTTTGAAGAGCCCGGATGCAAACAGTGGGCTGGCTCTTGGGAGGATTTATGCAAATAGCATCAAAATGCCCTGATGGGTGGATCTTAAACCGACCGTGTACCAGACTAAACTCATAAAGGAGTCCAAAATTGCGCCAATGACTCCATATATTCGACGCGTTTCGGTTGACGAAACGCGCTCCTCCTCCTTTCATCAGGGCTACAAGACATCTACAAGCAGAACGATGTAAACATTTACCAACTTGTCAGGAACGTTGAGGGCAACGGTTATCTGAACTTTAATAGCTGCCAGTATGCAACATTGTCTATATTCAATTTTAAAAGGCGTCGAATGAATAGAGGCTTACCACATTCGTGGATCGGGTTGCGGGGTTTAATTGGTTTATGAAAAAAAAAATGGCTGCTGAAGTGGATATATCTCCTAACGATGGGTTTTCCAAGCTGTCCCCCAGGGCCCTTCTAATGCTGGTCACAGCATTGTGAGTTTGGTGATCGTTTTTTGTGGTGGACCAGTTCTCCTCGCCTTTGCATATGAGTTCAAGTAGGCAAATGGCAACTGAACCAATCAGTTTGGTTAGTTTTGTTGCATTGAAAAACTCTGTGTGTTGTTTTTTAAGTTGAACGTCATGGTGTACGCCTCCCTGGCTCTTAAATTCAGGAACAATTGCATCTGAGAAGACTATTTTCAAAGGTCAAGAGTGATATTTTGATGTATTTACTTAGAAAGATTAATCACTTTATAGTTAATTCCCTAAATTGGGCCATACAAGCCACACCCTGCATGCAAATCTAGGGGAAAGAGGCCACCAGTGGTCATGCCCTTGTTTCTATGAACAGAATTAGACCAACCTTTCTCAACCAGGGTCATGTGGACACAATGTTCCTTCAAAGGTTTCTAGGGGTTCCTTGAGTAATGAACAAGTTCTGTCTGATACGTAACCAGTGCCACCAGTTATCTTTTTAGCTATGTACAAGGGGGCATTCTTCCCAGTACTGTAGGGAACATTTCTCCCACTGACCACCAATGTGAGGGACATTCTTCCCACTGATCACCAATGAAAAGAGCTTTTTTCCCACTGACAATCAATGGAAGGGTCATTCTTCCCACTGACCACAAATGTAAGGAATATTTTAACCACTGACCACCAATGGAAAGGGAATGCTTCGCACTGACCACCAATGTAAGGAATATTCTGACCAGTGGAAAGGGCATGCTTCGCACTGACCACCAATGTAAGGAATATTCTGACCAGTGGAAAGGGCATGCTTCGCACTGACCACCAATGTAAGGAAAATTCTGACCACCAATGGAAAGGGCATGGTTCGCACTGACCACCAATGTAAGGAATATTCTGACCACCAATGGAAAGGGCATGCTTCGCACTGACCACCAATGTAAGGAACAGGGGTGTACTGACCATTTGGAAACTGCCCGAGGGCCCGGGGTCAGTACGGGGCCCCATGAGATGCCCCTGGTACCTTTTTCATAGGCTTTTTTGAGTTTGGGCAAGGACACGGGCCCCATGATCCCCTATTGCCCGGGGGCCCCAAGAGTTGTCAGTCCGCCCCTGGTAAGGAATATTCTGACCACCAATGGAAAGGGCATGCTTCGCACTGACCACCAATGGAAGTAGTATATTCTCCCAACTGACCACCAATATATTACCCTTTACAACAACGAGCAGTGCAAGGAGGCCCTTCTCCCACCGATCACCAGCCTAAACCTTTTTTCAATGACCACTATAGTAAGGGGCACTTAATACTGACTACCACCATGAGGGAACGTTGCCATTTTCACTGTCTGCATTTCATTTCTTGCTATTATTAGTATTATCCAATCCGTTACATTTATTACTGAAAATCATAAGGTACAGATATAATTATTATCATGGGTTCACTGAGAGCTGAACGTTTATTCAAAGGTTCTTCTATGTTAAAAAAAAAACAAGGTTGACAGTGGTTGATCTAGTCAACATGGTCCCCCCATAGAGGACCATATTGACTAGAATTCAGAGGTAGGCAACCTGTGGCTCTGTAGCTGTTGTGGAACTACATTTCCCATGAGGCATTGCAAAACTGACAGTTACAGCTATGACTTGCAGAGGCATGATGGAACTTGTAGTCCTGCGGCTCTCAGGTTGCCTGCCCCCTGGACTAGATCAACCACTGTCAACATGGTCCTCCATAGGGACCACACTCAACACTTCATTATTGTATGCAGGTTCTCAGAAGGCTTCCACACTCAACAGTCCTGAATATAACAGAGAAAGTCAGAATTGATGGGGAGATATATATACACATACAGGGAAGTGTGGGCAGTTTCTGTTCTTTGCGTACTTTTTTGTTCTAAGTGTTAATTTTTCCAGTTCTTCTTTTTTATTGATTAGCAAAAGCTCAGAAATAACTACTTTTATTGTGTCAGTTTAAAATATATCTAAAGTTAGTGGAAGAACTAGGAGGACACAATTTTTCGAAAGAGTCCACAAAAATTTGGCAAGTTGGATGACAAAGGGCGCCATTTTAGAAAGTAAAAGGATTGCTGATGGCCCAGAAAGACCGAAGAAAATGTTTTTTTCGTTGGTGGACAACTATTCTCTACAGACGAGCGGGCTCAAGAAATTGACTAGGATCAATAGAATGTCTGCCTGTGAAGGTTCTGAATTTTTTCAGGTCATGGTATACCTAGTAGTAGTTGGTCACATTCACTTGGACTTGTTCTGTAATGTTGAAGATGTTTCGTAGCTTCTTCAAGCCACTTCTGTTCTACGGAGTTTCCATTTAAACCCTGGAATGTGTAGATGTTGATTCATGAAGAACCTGATAGGAGTGAAAGATGTGGAACCAGCCTGTTTGTTGAGAGGTTGTTAATCCCATCCTTGGTGTCAAGGAGCCCGCACGGGTGTTAATCCTTCCATTCACATGGCTG